TGTGGTGTAAGACCTTTCTTTTAATAATTACCTTCCAACATTATAAAACCTAATAGCAGTGTGATTCTGAAAAGATCTTTGCATTTTCATTATTACAATTTTTAAACCTTGAATTCATGAACGTATATGTCCCACTCTTTCTGAAGTTTTGAAATAGTTTTTATTGTCCAGTTTTAAGTGAGGTCCACTGTCCCCACATACTAGTCAATGGATAAACAAAAAGAACAATTAAGCATTAGTATTTTTTCACAAATTACATCTTCTCAATCAACTATGAACTAGAAAGTAGAATTATACTGTAAAACTAGAAAACTCTGAGGGTTTGACCTTGATAGCACAGTATATCATAATGATGATGATGATGAACCTACCACACTTCTTTCCAGAAACATTTTTATTTCACTTTTTTTCCCCCTAAGCCATTTTATTTGTTGCAGCTATTACAGAGAAGTATCTTGTTCTCATTTATATTTTATTGTTCCTCTATCCATCTTTATGCTGTACCCCATGCCCCTTTTGCACCAATGGAACATAAGAAACTTCTCTGTACTTGCGGTGTTTATAACAGGATTCCTGATCAGATTCCAGTACAGTAGAGCAGCTGAAAATATTTAGTGACTGTCTGTACCAGTACTCCCATCCTTTTAGCATTAAAATTAATTTTCCTCATCTTGGCGTATAAAGAACCCAAGTGTGCCCCTTACCTCATTACCTGAAATTTTACAGTGACACCATCAGCAGGGGATGTGGTGGAGCAGCTTTTTGGATATCAAAAGTAGAAGCTCTGGGAGTATTCACTTGAATAGACACTGCAGTTCTTGTGGCCTTTAATAGGTTCTTCCTTCTTGATTGCTGATGGCTGGATCAATGTGGATGGTATCATCCAGGTATTTCTGTCATTCAGATAGCTTGCAATTTTTGTACCTAAGAGAACAACTAGGCATACATCTGAAGGTTCTACTTGGTGTGTCGTACTAATCAGCAATCTGTGCTGACTGTCATAGAGGAGGCTGAATAACTGAACACGTTTATTTATGCATAGTGCAGTGCAGTGAAATGCTTTCTCTAAACATGAGAGCAGCCTTTGAGAAAGCAATGATAAAGGAAAGAAAAAATAAATTAAGGAACTTTAGACAATCCTTTAGTTAACTATATAATTGTGATAATCATAATTAAGTATAATCATATTTAGATTTACTTAGTTTAATGATTGAAATTTAAATATAATTTAAATATAAATGTTGAATGCATGTGGCATAAAATAAACTCTAAATTAAGCAGGGTGGGGGGAGGAATAGAAATAGTTGTATTCTTTGGTAGAAATGTAGTCCTGGAAACTGTCTGTATCTTCTGGTTTAATTTTTATTCTTATTATAGGTAAGCACTTTTATTAAATACTTTTATTAAATATAATCTACCCACCTGAATAAAAAATAGGTGTTTGAAGAATAGAGTTCAGTTTTCAATACATGATTTTAAATATTCCTTGCTTCAATTGGTAATTTTACAACCATCCAAAATACGCAAGAGCTGCATATGCTGGAAGGACTTGTAGTGTTAATTTGGAAAAATATGGAAGCTTCTATTTCACTTTTTGCATGTTCAATGACTTGGTTACCAATATGGAAAGGAAACAATTATAAAGATCATTAAATTGAAAGATAAATGACAGCCTCTGTCCTGTAAACACAGTATCTGACTGACTCAAGTATTTGGAAAATCAAGATCTTATGACAGAGCATCCATTATCTTTCAGTTCAGCATTATTTTACACTTTTTGATCAAAGCTACAGACAGTATTTGGAAAATTGAGACATCTTAATACGTTTTTATGCATAAAGGACTGTGAAATACATACAGGCTTTTCCTTTCATTTTTGCTTTTTGCCTTGGTTGTGTATTTTAAATAAGGTAATAACCATTTGAAATAGGTATTAATATTTTATTAAAAAATCAGTTGTTTACCTCACAACCATTATTACGAAAACCTCTCCCTAATCTCAGATGCACAGCTCCCTTAGCTATACCTGCTTTGTCTGTCATTTGTCAAAAAAGTCAATAAAAAATAATGACTAAGATGGGGCCATTCTTTTAGAATAAAAAAGATTAAAGAAATTAAGGAGTAACACAGATATCAATATGGCAATGTGACTCAGAAAATCTGTGAACTTACTTTCACTGTCATGTGGCTGGCGGTGTAAACATATTTAGATGTCAGATTACCACTGAAATACCTTAATGCTGTTAAAAGTGTGGATAAGTTTCTCTGTGACAGAATAATGTCTTCCTACAGCTTTCAAGCATGAGCAGAAACTTCTGGATAATACTTCTATGCAGATACATAGTTGTATTAATAATAATGTAGAGTGTTTACCATATCATTTTTTTTAAGTTACATAATCCGTCACAAGTTATCTCTTAACAGATTACTTAAAAATAACACAATCCCATTGTAAATATGTTGTTACTAGTGCACACCACTGTTTTAGATAGGCATTATTATTAGGCAGAGTTGTGAAATAAAGACATTTTCCCAAGTTTTCAAATTTTCTATCAAATACCTCTCCTATGTTCTTTGAAATTAGACTATTATAAATTGATATATATTTAATGAGATTTTTTAAAATTAATTTATTTTTTTGTCCTGGTACATTTCCAGAGCTCTAGCACGCAGTGAAGGTTTTATAGTCAGTGTGCAGTGCAGCAGATGTCATTCCATTTGCCTAAGTCCTGCTGACATTTGGAGTTGTGGATTAATTGAGCTACAGAATGAAATTTAATTAAAATTAAATACAGACTTGGCCATTGTATCTGTTAATTTTTTACACTCTGGTGTGTACATTTGCAGTCAGCGCCGTAGTTAATTTGTTTAATCAGGATGCTATGTGGAAGAAGCTGCACTGTGTTTTAAACTGAAATTATGGGAGATGCCAAGTAGAGCATCATTCCTGTAATTTCATGTACTACCTCCCACATAAACAATGCCATTGATATGCCTCAGAACAATTTGAAGGGTGTAGATTATTCTATTTGTGAAATTATTGAAGAGAAAAGACTATGTAAAATGTGTGGGGGAGTGTATTTTTGAAGTAAAGATTTTGTTTAAGCTGATGTTTTAAGTACTCTGATAATTTAGTTCGCTTATGAGAAAATATATTGGAAGTCAAAGCATTACAGAAGTGCAATTTATTTCTCTCATAAAATGCCATTGTCAGAATCCATTTAGCCTTGAGATAGAACTGTAATGGAAATGTCAACAGAAAGCATTAAAAAATGCCAATACTTGATCCCAAGATTTTTTAATTTGTAATTGAGTAGGTGTGTATGTGGGAAGCAGTCAAATCTCTTTTATTCTCTGTGACCACGATTGTATCTGGCAAATACTAGGTAAAGTAGAAGTAACACTGGAAGGAATATTTATGGATTTTGTCTTCATGTGTTTAATTTAGGTCCATCTGGAAACACTTCTGCTCCTTTTTAGGTATTCTGACTCAATCTCAATTAGATGCCTCAAGCAGACAAAGTAGATGGTATTAATACCTCTTCAGGTATTAAAATAATGAAGACATTCGTCCTGAATATTGCATAATAAACTGCAGTGATACGTTTCTACCGTGAAATCTGATTACATAAAGTATCTCATATGTAGTTTACCAAATGAACAGACTTTTTAAAAACTGAGTCTGTTTATTCAACTTTGTCCTTGATTACTACAATGAAAAATGTTCAGGTATAGCATGCTTTATAAAAACCAAATGAAATATCAAAATATTCCTGGGTATTCACTCAGTTTCCAACTACTTTTGGCACATGCTTCCTTTAAACAGAGGAAGGGTCCTTACATTTAATAGATATTGAAGGATTTCTCTTCCATGAACTTGTCCATTCTCCACCTGAATCCCCATCAACTCTAAGCATCTCCTGCAATGCCTAACTTTACTGCACATTGCATGAAGCAATTTTTTTGGTTTTAATGTGATGCTGTTTTCTGTGCTTGAGGCCCACCAACTCCTAAGTTGGAAAAGTTAGTGTAGGGTGGGTTCCTTGTCTCTGATTCTGTGCTGCTTCAGGTTTTGTGGACTTCTTTTTATCCTGCTCTGCCGTCTCCCAGCCTTTGCTAATCCCACCTTTTTTTGTACCTTGTTCAATTCTATTATACCTTTTTTTCTCTTAAGCTGGAGGAATGGTGAAACAAGAAATGCATTATTCAACATGCAAACGAGCCATGAATTTATGTCCATTGCTTAGTATGTTACTCTTATTTTCCTGCTAAATACAAATCCTTAAATGGCAAGGTTTGTTTTTTGTTTTGCTTTGGTTTTGGTTTTCTTTTTTCCACATTTGTCGTCCTCATTGAACTTACATTTTCCCAGAACTTTTTAAGGCCTCAAGATTTCATGCATGATTGGCAATAATGAGCTCAGAGCCCATCATTTTACCAATACAGTTAGGACTGAGATTCCTGTGTACATAACTTCACTTTTGTATTTTCAATTTCACTTACCATCCTAACACCCAGGAGATCACTCATGAAGCCTTTCCTGAAGTTTGCATCATCAGTTCTTGGCTTTGCCACTTCTTGTATGATCAGCAAACTTTGTCATTTTGCATTTGACTCATCCTTTTCTCATCCTTTATGAGTAAGTTAAACAGTGCAGGACCTTGTGGAATTTCTCTGGCATGCACCATGCTAGCTGACTCCTGTGCTTTATCCAGATTTATCCGTGTCATGACCCCTTCTTTTCCACCATGACTGCTTAGTTTCTTTGCAAGGCTTTGGTGAAAGACTTTGTCAGAAGCTTTGAAAATCTGAGCAGACTATATTGAGCAGATCTCCTTTACAAACCAAATTGTTGATAAGTTTTTCACAAACTACTTCCCTTTAGCAGGGGTGGGCTGACTTTATCTGGTATAAGCAATTTATCAATCTGTTTACAAGTTCTGTTCTTTGTTATAGTATCCACTAACTGGCCTGGTATGCTCTTACCAGTTTGCAGGTACCCCCTGAAACACGTTTCAAAGGTGGATGGTACATCTACCGCTCTCCAGTCCTTAATTAAGTGGGTTTAAGTAGTAGGTTGTATGCTACAATTGGATGGTGGCAGCAAGGTCCTCAGGACGTAGATTTAATTAGAGTGTCCTTCTCTTAGATGGATGGCCTTACAGGGCTCAGTGAGCTCCATCTGCTTGGGTTTGGAATTAGAGTTGTCCTTCTCCTAGGATGACTGCCAGAAGGCTAGCGATTATCTTGTCCGGATAAGATCAGCTTTATGCTGATGACGCTGCCCTCATCGCCCACACGAAGCAGCTCTGCAGTGTTTAACATCCTGCTTTGCAGACGCTGCTGTGCTTTTTGGGCTGGAAGTCAGCTTAAAGAAGACTGAAGTTCTCTATCAACTCACACCTCAGGAAGTCCTCCATCATCCCCATATCACCATTGGCGAATCAGAGCTCAAATCAGTCCAGCAGTTTAATTGATGAGGCAGCCTCGTGTCCTCAGATAGTAAGATTGACGGGGAGATAGACAACAGGTTAGCAAAGGCATACAGTGCCTTCAGAAATCTTCATAAAAGAGTATGGCGAAATAAACACTTGAAGAAAAGTACAAAGATCAGTGTTTACAGAGCCATAGTGCTGTCTGCTCTTTTAAATGGATCCGAATCATGGGTCATCTACCACCACCACCTGCGACTCCTAGAACGCTTCAATCAACGCTGTCTCCGTACAATCCTAAACATCCACTGGTCAGATTATGTGACCAATACATCTGTTCTAGAACAAGTATTGAGCCCATGTTGCTGAGAACACAGCTGCGCTGGGCAGGGCACGTCTCCAGGATGAAGGACCACTGCCTCCCTAAGATCTTGCTTTATGATGAACTTGCCACTGGCTACTGCAAGAGGGGAACCCCAAAGAGAAGATACAAGGACTCCCTGAAACAACATCTCAGCCTTGGCCATATTGATCATTATCAGTGGTCTACTCTGGCGTCCAATCGGGAGGTCTGGAGACACACTATCTTTAACGCTGCTGCTTCCTTTGAGAACGCACACAGGATCACTCTTGAGGAGAAAAGACAACGCAAAAAGAATCGTGTCTTGCAGAATATACCACCTAAGGAGTCTTTCTGCTGTGCCTTTTGCAACCGGACGTGTCTATCTCGTATTGGCCTTTTTAGCCACCAACATGCTTGTAACAAACGTGGGTAGTGCCCTTCCCAAATCTTCGTTCGCGAAGCCTAGCCATGATGACACTACGATTAGTGGTTCAGCTATTACATTCCTTTGAAACACAGATACTGTTTGGTCCTGGCAATTTGCTACTCATCTTTTTTCCCCTCTCTATTTCTCACGTAATGTTTTCTACTGACATTCATTTTGACATAGATTTTCTGCTGAGACCTTTCTTAATAGAGCTTTATTAAGAAAGCTTCAAGTGTAGGAACTTTCTCATGTTTCCCACAGCTTATTCAGAAGAAGAAAGAAAAACCACTGAAAAACCCAGCAAAAAGCTTGTGACACTGGCACAGTGATGGTCTTCTAGCCAGGTGAACATTCAAGCAGATTCCCTGCTCCTGATATGTTTGAAAACACATTATTCTATTGTAAACTTTTAATGCCAACATGGATTTTTACTCAAACTCTCTTCTGGACTGCCTTGCTGTGGTTTTATAACTAACTTGCCACAGTTTATGATACTACTTTCAACTTTCAGAATGATACCTTCTGGCTTTTAATAACTTTGTTTCCCCTCCTGTTGTTTTACTTTGAGTTCTTCTTGGCATTTCTGTTCCCTGAAATGACGATTTGCTTTCTACCTCCTGCAAGATACCCATTGTCTTTACACTGCCTCTAAGGATTTAATGCTACCTTTCTTCAGTGTATAAAGCTTTCCATCTTCATATGTAGAGAGCTACAGTTTTGCTGAAGTTGAGTGCAGTTTTTTGAGGGAAGGCACAGTTGTGTGGTATTTAGGGGGTTTGCCCAAGATTAAAATCCAGTGCATTGTAGCTGCTGTTAAAAAGTAGATTTTTGACATTTCAAATTAAATCTGTTGTTCTGCTCAAAACCTAAGCAAAGGTCTCTCACAGGCTGCAAAACAGTCTGTGCTCCATCAATCAGTTACTGACGAAGTCTATAAATGTAGTCATATCAGGTCGCAAAATGATATTTTTCCAATCCACATGTGAGATAATGACCCATGTCTCTTATTACCACTGCGTCTCACAGTGTCTGCTCTCCCTTGGCATATCACAGGCAGTGTCACCAGTTCTGGTCAGGCAGTCAGCAACATCATTACAATATGAAGTTGTTCTGGTTTGACTCTTGAAGACAGCTGCAGTCAAGACCAAATGTGTTTGGTCCTAGTTAAACTAGATTCTCAGTATCCCTCCAAAACTCTCTAACTGCAGTAATGTATTCTGAATATTTATGCCATATAATATTTCTTTCCTCTTCTCAATTGTAATCACCTGAAGCTTGACTTCTTTTGCTGTTCCTATTTCTATCTTACTGTTTGTTTACAGAGTACATGGCACTTTACAAGACAAGAATGGACTTCCAGTAAAATTCAGTAAATGCCTTACAAATAACTGTGTTCTAAAATGCATTTAAAAATGAATTTAAAAGGTTTAAATGTGACTTTCTTATGGACATGGCAAGAAAGGGATTAGCCAAGGGATCAATACACTACTGATGCTATTATTATGTTGAGATGCATCTTCATAGCAGATGAATAAGGATCAAACAAAGGTAGCTGGATGGAAGGAGACACCATTTTTTGGACCCAAAGCTGAAAGAGTGGCCTTTCGGACTAGGAGAACCAGCAACACACTAATTTGGAAGGTGCCATGGTGCCATTGGAGTGAAAAAGGATCATCCCTGTCTGCAAGAAAGTCGTCAGTGGACGCATCACTTCATGTCCTCTTACAGAGAGTTGTGCATTAGGATCTGTGCTTTTTTTCAGTCGTGGCCATGAAAAAGAAAGATTTTTTTGTGATTATACAGATGGTATATGTCAGAAACAGGTAACTGCGTGGATGAAAACCAGCAAAATGCTAAGTATCATTTAGAGTGTGTTGGGCAGTCCCTCAGCTGACAGAATGGTGGGTTTGAAAGCAGAGAGATTTTTTTCAGGGATTAGAAAGATTTTTAACCTAAATATTAAGATAATAAGATGACATTCAGGAGAATGTAGTAAAGGAACAAGTGGAGAAGAGTCACAAAACAAAATAGGGGTGGGTTGGGTTTTTTTGAGGCAGTGAGCAAAATTCAGTGCTAGGACTGAGAGGAGGAACAGGGTAATGATGCTGAGAGTAATAAAATTCTAAATTAGAGGTGCAACCGTGAAAGAAATAAGTAGAAGACATGAAGAGACAAGAGGTTACAGATACAGATACCAGAGAAGAGCATTCAATAGTAGAAGGGGCACATGAGATAGTCATGGCAGCAGAGGTGGGAAAGATGCTGAAGAAGAATAAGCAGATCACAGTACTGAAGATGAGAGTAGGAGGAATACAGTGGATATATTTAGGGATGTTGTTATGTTATATAGCTTAAGAGATGCAGGAACACGTAATGGGAATATTTTAATTTTTTTTTAACAGTGCAAAGAGAAGAGGCTAGTGATCTGCCATGGCAAAGAGCCTGTGTTTAGCAAAAGCAAGTGTGATGTGGGTTTTTACCTCATTGAAGAGAGCCATTGAAAGACAATCTGATTTTATAGGAAGCATCTTTCTGTGTATAAAGAGAGTGGTTCATTTAGACCCACAGCACAATAGCCCTGTGTGGAATATTTTCAGTTTTAAATTACAGGTGTTTTATTCATGCAATATCTATTGTTTTTAAATTTTACTGATCTATTACTGTCAGTTATCTTATGATCTTGAGCTTTAACGTAACTACTCAGTGATTTTCCTTTTAAAGTTTTAAAGTGATTGCCAGTTGGAGTGATTGTGTGCCTTTTCATTCATCTATTCATGATGGTAAAATAATCTGCATTTACAACCGTTACTCTATTACAGACTTCCAAAGTTTGGGATTACTTATTTTGCGATGTACATATTTTTGAATTATAAGAAATGGAGTTGTCTGCTAATATTGAATAGGTAGCCAGTAATTCTTCGTGGATCCATTCTTCAGTCTTGTTCATTTAGGGGCAAAATTCTCATCTTTCTTCCTTGCAACCTTGCAAATATAAAGTTTGTTTAAACAAGCTTTTGTCAGAGACTGAAACGGTTAATGATTTATGCATTCTAGGAGACTTCTGCAGGCTTTTGACTTTCATGTTATGCCTCTGATGGGCAACTGGGCCCATCCCCCCCCCTCCAGTGCAGAAGGTGTCAAGCCCCGAAAAGGCGGGAAGAGCCGAGTTTACCGCGCCCTCTACATGAACTCCGCACCGAAACATTGGGGGCTTTGTTGCTATGCCCCTCAACTCTGCCAAAAGGCGGGAAAAATGTTGGCAGTTCATGGCACGGCCAGGGACACCACCCTATGAAAACAACTCCCCGCCTTGGGGGAGGTACAAAAGCATGTTGAGGATATATATATTAACTGGTGACTTTGAGGGTTTGGGGGGTATTTTTTTTCCTTCTCCCCCCACCACCTGCGAATCAAGACCATTGCTTTCAGGATTGCCAGGTTGCATCGCTGGATCCAGTGGGTGGTGACTATATACATTTTTACCACTCTCATCTTTTCTTTTTCCTTTCTCTCCCTTATTCTTACCCTGTCTTTCTCTCCCCTATGCATTTTTCTCCCCCCCCAAAAGGTTTGCCTTGTTATATGACAGCACCCAAAATACTAGTATACCTGTTGATACAAAATTGTTAAAATAAACTTTGTCAATATATGTTTTCAGACACCGATTATTTACTGTCGTTTCACTTTAATCCACCCCAAGGGAATTATTGATAAAAACCTGAGTTACCCCCCCTCCCCTTTTCCTGGGGCGGGTCGTAACAGCTTTGTACTCTGGTTCACCTGAAAGTCAAACTAATTTTAGTGCCTGTTTTTGATGCTTGCAACTTTCATATATATATGTGTGTGTGTGTGTGTATTTATATGTATATGCACTTTCACATTAAGAAGAGAAAACTATGATAACGTGAGACAAAAAATGTCTTGCTCTTAGCCCAATTAGAAATTAATAATCTGTATGTATTATCATGGCTAGGCTTCGCGAATGAAGATTTGGGAAGGGCACTACCCACGTTTTTTACAAGCATGTTGGTGGCTAAAAAGGCCAATACGAGATAGACACGTCCGGTTGCAAAAGGCACAGCAGAAAGACTCCTTAGGTGGTATATTCTGCAAGAATATTCTGTGTTATTTTTTCTCCTCAAGAGTGATCCTGTGTGCGTTCTCAAAGGAAGCAGCAGCGTTAAAGATAGTGTGTCTCCAGACCTCCCGATTGGACGCCAGAGTAGACCACTGATAATGATCAATATGGCCAAGGCTGAGATGTTGTTTCAGGGAGTCCTTGTATCTTCTCTTTGGGGCTCCTCTCTTGCGGTAGCCAGCGGCAAGTTCACCATAAAGCAAGATCTTAATCCCTTTGTCTAACTGATATAGAGTCTAATACCTCTGACATTTGCTGTAGAAATTGCTCTATGGGGTTCTCTGCTTCACGTAGTTTAGATTTGCCCCGAGATTATTTAATTATGGAAAAGAAATTTGTGCTGTCATTCAACTAACACCAGAGGTTTCAAGTGAAACCAACAATTGCTAAGTTTAAATAAATTATTAAATCAGATTTAACCTAAATTTTTCCTTTTAGACATTGTGGATACAAAATAAATACTGTACAAACTAAAAGTAACTATATTTATACAATATTGACAACTTCTATCATCCCTTCGAACCCCTCCCTCAATCAGTTCAGGAGAAGCCCTCAGGCTGATAGGTAAACAGTCTTTCTTTCATTGGAGTATCAGGGAGAAGGGTTTCTCTGATCACCCCCCACCAACCTCCAGCTCTTTGCTGAAGTCTTTTCTTCCTCACAAAGTCCAAGAAGATAGCTCTGAGTCCGTCCTCCTTGGTTCCATGCCAATCTCTGCTGTGTGACTCTCTCTCTCCCTCCATTCCGTAGCTGCTGTAGTTCAGCTCGGCTTGTCACGTGCACATGTTCCAGGATTCATTCCTCCTCCGTCAGTTTTTGGCTGCCCCCGGCCAAACTTTTGCAGGACACCCTCCGAGCCTCTCTCTGGCCCGTCTCCAATTTCGCCTGGAGTTTTTTCTCCTGGCACTGAGCTGCCTTCTCAGCCCGTCCTCTTTGGCTCAGCTTCAAAATACTAAGCCTTACATTCCACTCCCACCTACAGTGGTGGGAAAAGCCCCCACTCAGCTTTTGCTACAGGTGTTCGATCCCGTTATAACTGTCCCGAGCTGCCCACAGTCTAGCTGCAAAGGGAGGGGAAGAGGGCTTGGCTGAAAGCCTGCCTCTCTCCCTCTTACCTCAGCAGTTGTCTCTTCCCTCACAACACACACAGACTCCAATGCTGCCTCCAGCCCCAGCTTAGCCAGAGCTGTGGGGCCCAAGGCCCCTCTTTCTGGGGGGAAGGAAGGGGGCCCTACCACCCCTGGGACCTCACACACACACACTCAGACACAACAGCGACTTCCAACTCTGCAACTCTGCCAACTCTGCCAACAGTTTTCGGTTGTTGTGTATATCTAATTTTCACAGGAGCGAACAAAACCAGCGCTGATTAGTTCCTGAGGGAAGACTGTCCCGGGACCAATCAGCTTTAACTCTAACTCGGAACCCCCATGAACCTGAGATAGAGGGGAAGGGCAGCTGAAACCATGACACCTAAAAAAGGAAAAGATCATACAAAAAGAAGATACAATTTGGAATTTCTAACACTCCCCCAAAATTTTGGCTGCATAGTTTGTTTTAAACTTAGTTGTGGTCTGGAAAGTTGTAAGGACAATAAAAAAGCATTCACAGTTTGAGTTAGACTCTACAAAGTCCTGTATTTACCTAAGGAAAATGTTAATGTATGGAGGTTTTTTCCTCCTTTTGTTTGTATGATTACTTTTAACTGCGTGAGTGTGCATGAATCACATTTTCCTGTTAGTTTAACATTTTATTTTTAAGAAAAATGAAAGTTGTTCTTCCTCACTTTGTTAGAATGAACTGTCTGGACACTTGACAAGTAGTTATGGAAGAAAGTAATGCTATACCATCTCTTCTAGGTGTTGCATAAAGATTGGGTAGTTCCATCTGTCCCCTTTTTCCTTTAAGTGATGTCTTCTTAAGAAGGAAGTAGAAAAAGAATAGGCTTGCTTATCTTCAGCTCTTCTCTTTTATAAGACTGTTTTGAGTAATTGAACTTTTGGGTTGTAATGTGATTTTCTGCAGACCTTACTATGATCATCTGGTTCTATGAATGTGCAGCATCGCCAAGAAAATGATGTGAGAAGTATGGGGTAACGCATGTTCATTCACGTTAGGCCATTGACATGGAACCATTTCTTGATTTTTGTATCAGACCCACTGAATGTATTCCTCCACCCTTGCTTATGCTACAGACTGCAAGACAGCAAAAATAGCATAGGGATATTTTACATGAGGTGCTTCAGGTACAAAAAACTTAAGCAGTCTGGAGCTCCTCACAAGCTAATTTTCTTTGCTGAAGCAGAGTAAATTAGCCCACATGAGCTTGTGCTGCTTAGAGTGCTTCTGGTATCCAAGTTTGTTCATCTAAGAATAGGTTTGGAAATTCTCTATTCTTTGCAAGCTGCAGTGTGGGCATACATTTATTGTCTGGTGTTGGCTGGGGCATGTGTGGAACTGAAACAGTTAAAGATCAGAAGATCCTCTGCCTGTCAGTAATTTTAGACACAGTTTAAATGACCAAGATATATTGTTTAAATCATGCATTTACAATAACTATTTGCTTTCATATGCTGGTGGTTTGTGCTGGAATTAGAAGTTTTATTTTCATCTGAACTGTCTATGCCAGACTTCTGTTTATTGAAAAGATCAGTGATAGAAAAAAGAAAAAGAAAACCCAAAGCACAGACAACTCTGCATCTGCAAGTCTAATATATTAATATATCAATTTTTATTAAAAAATGTGATTCCTTAAATAAAAGAGGCACCAAATCTATGTGTTATTTTAATTTTAGATGTAAAATTACAATGTAGGCTATAAAAATTGGACTTTTTCACAATGATGGCATAAGAAATGTTGTTTTGCACTGCTGTATGACAACTTCTTAAAACTCATATTGAGTCACTTTCTGTTATTTTCTTTGAAATATCTTTTTAAAAGTATACAGTGGTCTGTTAAAGGGCAAATCAGTGTATATATACTTAAATAAGTATACTTTATTTTGCTATAACTGTGACATAATTAAACCAATAATAGTGCAAACCTCCCTCAATTTGAGGTTAGAGAAAACAAGTGTGAATATGAGATTTAATTCAACTTTCTTGTTGGATATTTTGTTTCTAGAAGTGAAAGTGTTTTGATGACATAGAGAACACCGTCAAGTAACTTCTAACCTGAAATGAAGACATGCAAAACTATTTCAGAAAGATTTTGAACCTCTCTAATTATCTGCTGTTATGAAGACTTGCTGTATTTCTGAGCTATAACAAGGAGATTTTCGTAAAATGTTCTTCGTTTCAGAACTTGTTTTATATAAGAAATATACCTAAAAAGCTAATTTCTTTTCTCCTTTCTGCACTGCAATCCACAAAGTGTGATTAATAATAGATTTAAATTTGCTAAGTGCATTTACTCCTTTGTGCCATCATAAAGAGAATCTATTACTGTAAAATTGAGGCTTAGTTCCAAATTGCACCATTATGAAGTTTTCTTCCAGCAATGTTTTGTCTCTAATACACTTCCCTCATTGTAATTCTATTGCAAACCTGATGTCTAGCATCAAGTCTCACAATAATTATTTTAAATTGCTACTAGGAACAGTAGTCCTGGTGGGATATATTACTACCATTCTAACAAGATGAATTTCAATGCACTTGTAACCATATTATGGTGTATTATGAAAAGAAGAAAATCCTTGGGTTGTAGGTAGGTAAGCAGATTTAGAATACTGTAAAATGATTTGTATCAACTTCTTAGCACTTCGTGTTGCACTTTTATGTCATCAAATTAAATTAGTATTATATATTAAAATGTATGATAAACTGTCACTATATAGTGGTTTTAAGTAAAACTTAACAATGAGATAGGGTGGAGCTTTAGAAATGAAATTGTTCTTCTGAAATTACTACTAGACTCAAAGCTTGGAAGTCTCCTGAACTTATGTCAAGAATAAATAAAATAATAAAAAGAAATGTAAACTAAAGGAAACTCCATAAACATTAATTTCAAAATGACAGAGGCCGTGAAGTTCTGTGGCTGTACTTCGTAATGAGATTACCAATTAGCTCCTAAATTCATACCAATTACCCTAGAAACTTTAAGACAGAGATTCACCAGTTATTTTAAAATGAATACCCAGCTGATGTAATACAAATTCAGCAAAGCACTTTCTATGTTTTGCAGTTCTGGAATTAAGAGCTTATGCTGTAATTAAATGATAACGTAATTATATGCACACTAAAATTCAGTATCATTCCAAAGTTATAGTGAGATAAATCTGTAATATCTAAATCTAAAATGAATCCTTACACAGTATGACTCAGAAGATGGCTAAAATTTCAAACTTCCCCAATTTCATATTTTAGAAAATTCAGAACTGAATATAGTTTAAGCAAGATTAAGATAATCTCCCTATCCAAAACAGAGAATAAAACAAACTTTTACATCACTCTATCTTGTGCAGCACTACCTGCAGTGACTTCATCCATAGATGCAGCTATAAAAATTATACCACATTTTCTTGGTTTGGGAAAAATAATGTCATGTTGCTGGAAAAAATTACAAGAAACAGAAAGTACCTTGGGTCTAATGGGCTCTTTTGTTTGACTGCTCACATCCCTCTTCCTAAACATTTCATAATGCCTTTCTCTTCTCCCTCCCATTTCCAAATTGCAGTATTTTCTGTGAATTTATGAAAGAACGTACAGACCAAAAGTATGTGTTGAAGTTGTTTTTTCTATGCATGTAGCATGGAAAAACCGTTACCACCTAACTGCCAAATAATTTTCTATTTTCACTAGTGATTTAAAACATTGGTGTAAATAACTAGAGATAGTTTTAGATATTCTTTACTGGATATTTTGGTATTCTTGTTTCCATTCTCACTTTAATTCTTTGAAACCTACACTCCTAAGGATGTTTAAAGTTCAACACTTCTGTGTTTGCATTTTTTTTTATTTCTGTGTATATATATATTTGTATGTATGTATATAAGCTCACAATCACCATGCCCAGATGCCCAGGTTACACGTACACTTCGACAGAGTTATAAAATGAGATTTTCACATAACTATGTATCTTGTCATCATCACATATTAAATCAAAACAAGTAGAATGTATGGAAGTCTCCAAACTCAAACAGCTATTGCCAGTGACCAAATTTTCACATTTGGCCTTTGCTTGCTTACTTGTGTGGTAAGGTCACTGCAGACTGTAATTTGTTAAATTTGATTAAAAGAGAACTCAGATCCTCAAAGGAAATGGCTTCTCATCCAGTGTAATGTAAAGTAAAGGTCTGGGCTGGATCAAGGCTAAAGTACTTATCACCTTGCAGAGCTGATGCCAGGAACTGACAAGCAATTTGGCAATAAGAACATTGCAGCCATTGGTGTTGCTCCATTAAAAATAAATACATAATTTTGCTTTTGTGCCTTGACAATTTGAAATGCTGAAAGTAATTTTGTTTGTTTAGAGTGAGTGCAAATGAGTGCAGTGAGTGCAGGTGCAGGTGTCATGCAGCTCCAGCAGTGTACTACAGTCCATTACAAACTGACAACTTTTCCATGAATGTGAAAATAGTCCATTTTTCACATTCTACCTCTTTTTATCTGCTTGAACTCTTAATGGAAGCATTACAAATAGTTTATGACAACTTATGCACAATCCTTCCAGAAGTTCGTCAGTGGTGGTGACTTGAACCAGCTTTGCTACAAGTCACAGAAACAACTAGTAAAATGCTACACCCCTACCTGTTCTGGTAGCTATAAATCACATTAATCCAGCTGCCTTCCATTAAGTATATCTTTCCAATTAAAAATGCTCATCCTAGACTGGAAAGACCAGGAACTGGAGTAGTACCATATTGCCTTTGCACAGATATTTCAGTCCTTCTTGGTGGTAAAGCACTACAAACCACAGTTTGAAGTTATTTTCCAAAGTTTTGGGAAAAAAAATTGACACATTACTATATTAA